TTGTAATTCTTCCAGTGAGTTGACACTGTGCATGCGACTGAGACAGTCGCTTATGGCGTTGTTCTTGGATGGAATGTGTTCTATTTTATAATTGAACTCTGAAAGTTGCAAGGCCCAATTCAGCAATTTTCTACTCTTAGGGTTGCGTTTGGATTGCAGGAATGAAGTTACGCGATTATCAGTACGCAAGAGAAAGGGTTTACCAAGAAGGTAGTGACGAAATTTTTCGGTAGCAAAAATTATAGCATGCGCCTCTTTCTCTACAATGTTCCACCTTGATTCAGTTTCATTGAACTTTCTGCTGGCGTAGGCGACGATGTATGTTTTGCCATCACTTGTGTTAGTGGCTTTAAGACATGCACCTTCACCTCTGTCTGATGCATCAACTTCTAGGATGAAAGAGTCGGTACTTGTAGGAGCTCGTAAAACTGGTGCGGAAGAGAGAAGCTGCTTTAGTGCTTCAAAGGCTGCTTGAGCTTCAGGTGTCCAGACAAACGTTGAAGTCGGTTTTGCAAGTTCGTGTAGAGGAGCAGCAACAACAGAGAAGTGGGGAACAAATCGATCACAAAATTGTGCCATGCCTAAAAATTCCTTCAAGGATTTGGCATTGGATGGCACTGGAAAATCGGTGATGGACTGAATGCGAGCTGGGTCAAGGCGAATGTGTCCCTTGTCAATGAAATGGCCTAAATACGGCAAACTTGTCTGGAAAAATTTGCATTTCAAGGCGTTTAAAGTGAGACCAGACTGTCGAATTCTTGCTAAAACTCTGCGAACATTGGAGAGATGATCTGTGAAATCTAATCCTTTAATAACCACATCATCGTAGAAGGGTGGTAGAATACAGTCGCTTAAATCAGAAAATGTTTGTTCCATGGTTCGTTGGAACAAAGAAGAGGCCGGTTTGATACCTTGAGGCATAACGTTCCAGGTCCATTGACCAAAACCGTAACCAGGAGAAAAGGCAATGATCGGTTTGATTCTATCAGCACAAGGAATTTGGTGGTAGCCACTGTTGAAGTCGATTGAGCTGACATATTGAGAGCCGCGAACAGAGTCAAGACATTGTTGAAGGGATGGAGAAGGCCAACCTGAATCTTTGATGGCAGGGTTGAGAAAACGATAGTCAACTACAAGTCGAAAACGATCGGTAACATCACAGCTATTTGAAACATTCTTCTTGGCAACAAGGACTGTAGCAGCACGATAAGGTGAATCAATATGTTCAATTAGGCCATGAGCTTTATAGTGTTGTAAAAGTTCCTTGACAATGGATTGTTGATGAAGTGGCACTCTGCGTAAAGTTATTGAAATGGGTGTCGAATGAGCCAAATCAAAGTCAAATTCTGTCACGTTGGTTTTGCCAATTTTGGTGTTTGATAAAGAGAAGACATCAGAAAATTCCATCAGTAAATTCTTGGCTTGTTGAAACTGCGAGGGAGACAAGTGGGTCAACTGTGAAGTGAGAATCGTAATAGGATCGGAGGTTTGAGTAGAATTATCTGTGTCCTGAGTAGAGAGAAGATTAATTGTGTCTTTAGGAAGAACAGAGAATTCTTCAAAGTCATACGTCCCTAGAGCAACCTTGGTGCCCTTTTTGATGGTCTTTGCGACGGCAGAAGTATTAACAAGGACGGTGGGAACACATGAGTGTTGATGAGAAACCTTGTGTAAGTACGGAACAACCTTTACATGCAGACGTTCTTCAAAGGGTGCATGTCCATCAATCAGTGCAGTCGGTTCTGAAACTGGGCGGAATGCATGAAGGGAGGGCCCATTAGCAACTGTCTTAATAGTCAATGATTGTCCGGGTAATATTGTGTACTTGTTCGGTGTTATGAAAGCAATGTTATCTTGAAGAGAAGGCTGAGAAGATACCAATACCATGGATTGATCTAGATGAAGGAGTTTCTTGGAGTTGTCAATGCCCCATTTGGTAAATTTATTTAGAAAACTCAAACCGAGAATGCAAGAATAAGGCAATGCATCAATAATCATAAATTCAACAATGTGAGATACAGCAGGATACCCTACTACAAGAGGGGCTTTAATCACACCAAAGGGTTTCATTATTTGTCCATTTGCATCAAGCAAACCTGGGCCAGTATAACCCTGTAATGGTAGGTTTTGCAAGTAAGGACTGCCAGTGAAACATCTTTTGGCAAGACAGCATACGGTGGCACCAGAATCAAGCATCATTGGAATTTGCTGTCCATGTAATGTTCCTGTTAGCCAAAGCAAATTAGGTTCTCTCTGCAGAAAAGATTGTGATTCTTCTTTTTGGGGGGTCAATGAAGCATTGTCGGCTTTCCCAGTATGACCCTTTACTGGGGGCCCCAAAAGTTTC